AGTTTAATTCTTTTCAATATTACCCCTGTAATGTCTGGGAAATAAAACATCATTTATTTCTTATACTCTCTCTTATTCTTCGATAATCTATCACTTCTCGTCAAAATAACTTGAAATATAGAAACTGAAAAACTTTAAAAGGTGGACTCGTAGTTAGGATTTGGTATGTATTTGATCATCAGGGGTAAAATTGAAACTTTTAGAAAGCTATAAGGATTGTATTGATAGATTCTAGAAGGCTGTAAATCAAGCAGTGATGAAAATATACAAATCAAACTGTAGTTTTTCTAAATTTATTTCCCTAGTCCAAACGACTGAACCACCCAATATCAAGGGTGATTTGCTTCTAGGTGAGTTACAAGTGATGTTTTTTTTTTTGGATTATTTGATGAAATAATTATAAAAAATAAAAATATTTTTAAAAATAACCATTACTACTATAAAATGTATTTTATCACTAAAATAAATTAAACTAGAGGCAGAGAATTACAATTTAAACAAATATTCATTGAAATGCTATAAACTAAGCAACGTACAATTTGCATGAACAGCGCGAATAAATGATGAGAAGGATTGACTTGCGTGATGGAATCACGAGACAAAGAAAGTCAATCATTATTAATTATCATCTTCAATGTTACACCAGATATCACCATCGTGAAAGGATGAAGTTATCATTATCATTAGACTTCGTAACTTTTATATCACGTTAAAAAAAAAAAAAAAAAAACAGTCCCTCACTTCTACCCTCTTAAAATCTTCTCTTTGCTCCCTTGACTCGTGCATGGCTGGAAAGTCGTAAGATATGAGTAAATAGGTCATGAGGTTGAACAACCGTGATTATCAAGTTGGATTTATTTAGAATTATAACCAGTAATTATAATTTAAAATATTTTTTATTTAAAAATATATTAAATTAATATTTTTTATTTTTAAAAAATTACTTTTTAATCAGCACATCAAAACAATTTAAAATATAAAAATAATTTTATTTTAAATAAAAAAATACAAGACACAGCCTCTAACTTATGCCAGTTAATTCAAGTAATTTGTGATATAAATATAATATATGTTGTTTTAAATTAAACTAAAAGAATAGTTATATCTGATCGAAATCTTAATGACCCGTTGAGATTCGAATTGAAAGTAGCTAGGTAAACTCTAAGATTTTTTTTAAAATAAAATCACAGTTTTTCAAACCAAGATGATTGATGCAAGTTGACTTTGACTCATGGAAGAAACGTGGTGGTTCAAGACCCATCCGTGAAAATAAAACCATGGTAGTTGTATGGTGGTTAACGCGTGAATTGAAATTTTAGTAATTACATATATTTAAATAAAAAAATAAAAATACTTATAGTGTAAAAATAAATATACCAGGTTATAAAAAATTTAATACACTCGCATCGAGTTTACATGTTTGCGTGCCATGTGTTGATTCAATAAATGTATCATTTTGTATTTTGTCAGAATATAAAAATATATTTTATCATGCGAAATTTACAAACTTATATATAAAAAAAATAATTTACTAGGTTTTGTTACATTATTTTATCAAAATATGATAAATCACAAGACCTGAGGACCTTGTTATCGATAGACGATGATGTTTGAAAAAATCATGTTCCATTAAAAATTAATTTATTTTTATTATAGATTATTTTATTATTATAATCTTAAAAATAATTTTTTAAAAGATAAAAAATATATTATTTTAATACATTTTAACAAAAAAAATAAAAACAATTACAATTATATTTCCAAACAGCCCAAATCCAAATCTATATGTTTTGGATATTTTGTTTCCACAATTTTATTGTTTAATGATAACTATAATTTTCAATGACTAATTTAATTTTATTATTTTAAAATAATTTTTAAAATATAAAAATAATTTAAAAATCAATTACAATTACATTTCAAAACGACTCAGCCCAAAACTGTGTGCTTTGTATCTTTTATTTTCACAATTTTATTATTTAATGATAACTGTAACTTTCCATAGCTAATTCAATTTGCTATAATGTTTTATACAATGCTGTTTTAATACCATGGTGGAAATAATTTTGGTAGAATAACCGGTGGTCCACGCATCAAAGCATATGATCATGATGAAACACTGAATGAATATATATAGTACAACTTAATTATCATAAAAATTATTTAAATATTTTTAATTGTTCATGCAAGTAAAATATTATTAAGTCCGCGATAATCATCGCCGTCACCATGTAATGCACAGTTTCGAGATCATAATCATATGCACTCTATAATTTAAACCAACCAAAATGGGGCCATTTGAAGCAGCAGCCTCGTGATATTTTGCCTTCCATGGAGCATGCTCTCACACGAGGCAACATTTCCCCAGTCATTTTTTTTCTTTAATTATTTAAGATTCAATTTCAAATGTTGAAACTCAAGCCTTGTTTTAATATTAAACTCTTCACGCGGTTTTCAGTGGGAATTTCCTGGTAAAAAACAAATTCATAGCTGCAATTCTTGTGCTTTTCTGGGGTGCTTGTGTGTGTACAAACATTATAACATGGATAAATCTTTGTTATATGGCGTTAAAAAGAAACCAATATTGCTGAAGAGAAGTTGTTTCCTTTATCCTTCATAGAAGAGGAGATGATATAATTAATTATATTCCAGATTAGGAGATGTTATAATTAATTATATTCCAGTATATGACAATCATGTAGCTTAATTAATTTTACAGATTTTAAAATTAATAATTATATAAATTTTTAATAATTATCATATAAGACTCGAACCTTGAATTATAAAAAAATAAATATTTTAATTTCAAATTATAAAAATTATATTCCTAGACAGTATAATTTCTTCGAGCTTGTAGTGTCAAATTCTTCATGCGTTTGTTAATGGTGAATTTCTTGGCAAGAGACAATTCCATTTATTTAAATTCTTGTTCTTTTTTGAGTGTTTATATATTTTAAATATAAATATAACATAGTACTTTTTTTTTTGTCCGACACTAGTTTCTTAGTAGTTAATGGTGGTGATAAATATGTTTATGCCAACAAATAAAGCTGAATCGTGAAAAAAAAAAATTTAGTTTGCTCGGCGCTATAATTGAATTTAAGGTATAAATTAATCCTAATATCAAATAAATATTTTTCACAGCTGTTAGATGATTATTTACGTTGCTTCTTGTTTTATTTTTTATTTTTTAAAATTATAGAACCATGCTGTCTATTTTTATTGTGTGTTTGAGATTACTGTGATGTATAATGTTTTTTTTAAGTGTATGAAATAAATTTTTGGTTTGATTTTTTATTATTGAAATCATCATTTTAAAAATACTTAAATACATTAAAAATATTAATATAATATTTTTTATATTAAATATATTTTTAAAAAACTTAAGAACAATTTTAAACGTATTTCTAAATATTTTTTTAGTCGAGTTCCTTTAATAATAATTAAAAAACAGCACCTTTTACCTAAAATCATATGACATTTTTAAATATTTTTTTAGTTGAATTCATTTAATAATAATTAAAAAAACACCTTTTAACTAAAATCATGTAACATCATTGAACTACTTTACTAATGTAATTAATCACTGATAGTAGAGATATTTGATCAATAAAGATAACAACAAATAGCTGCGTCTACTAATGTAATTAATCACTAATAATAGAGAAATTTGATCAATAAAAATAAACAACAAATAGCTGCGTACCATTAATTATCATCGCTGATATTATATATACTCAAATAGAAAAATAAAAATGCACACGCCCAGGCAATAATAAAAAAAAAAACACAAACATTCGAATTAAAAATAGAATGAAAGTTCATAAGCGTTTGACATACATATTAGCATATCTTATATCAATTAATGGCCATGTTAGTAAATATTTAACAAAATCCAACAAGTCATTTAATTTTAAAAAATATATAAACTCATTTATTCAAATTAAGAAAAAAACGAAAACTAAGTACATCAATTTAAAAAATCATGGAAGAATCTGGAAAACAGTCCTTGTGTTTATTATCTGAAAAATTATTTTTATATTTTTTTGTTATTGAAAAAATTAGTTAATAAAAAATATTTTTCGGTCACAAAAAATACTTTTAAGTAAAAAAATTTAACTTAATTTTTAAGAAAGTATTTTTTTTTTATTTTTAGTGGAAAATACTTTTTAAAAATTATAAAAAAATTAAAAATATCATATTATTTACTGACTATATCAAATTTGATACTCAAACTTTTAATATATATATATATATATATTGTTTTGAATATATATTTTTTAATTTTATCTATTATGATTTATTTTTTATATTATTGTTATTTATTTTATTTGAAAAAATTTATAAAATGGTAATTATTATTATTTTAATTTTTTAATTTTTTAGATTTGATTTCTATTATTTTAATTATTATTTATTTTATTTAAAATAATTTATGAAATTATATATTTTTTACAAATTCATTCTCATTAAACCTTTTATTTTATAAGATCTATTTTTTATTATTTTAATAAATGTTTTAAAAATAAAATATTAATAAGTTATTTTTAGTTTATTTTTCATGATATGATAAACACTAGAAAGTATTGGTTTATTTTTTATTACATCACTGAATATTAAAAAATAATTTATTTTTTTTTAAATTATTTTTTTTTTAAAATTATTTTTCAATAAATAAATAAGTTTTAAATAAAAAAACAACCACCCAGCCAGTACAAATCGGGGTTAAAAATATTATTTTTTCAATTAGGTTCCTAAATTCTCAATAAATCTTCAATCAAGTATCGCTCTATTTCCGTTAACGGATTCCATCCACCCTCACACACTTTCTCATAAATTTGCAGAGAGCATAGATGGAGACTTTAATTTCGAATTTCGCAACAATTTAAGAACCCAATTGAATAAACAAACTCTTCAAGGACTCAGTCGAGACCATCCTTATACCTGGAGTACTCATACCAGCTTGCCTAAAAATAGTCCCCGTTGTCGCAACCCGTATTGCTATCCATTTCATCTAAACCGGGTCGAAAAAAGAAACCATCTCCTTTCTCCGTTGTAAAAAACAAATGCTAAAAAAATAAGTTTCACTGTGAAGCTCTGAAAACTCTCTCCCGCTCGCATAAGCTAAAACCTCTTCTCTCCTCTCTTGTTCGCGTTCGCATGCTTCTTCGATCTCCGCTCTAGGTATCTCTACAGTCTCTCTCTCTCTCTGATTTATCTCTATCTCCTTATTTTTTTCCTAATTTTATCTTAAATTTAATTTCAGGTGAAATTTGTTGATTTTTTAATCACTAGCAGTTTTTCTATTTATGTATTTTCTTTTTTACTCTGCTTGATTGCCGAGGAAACTGTAGAAATGAGAAGAAATATTAGCTTCTAAAATACTATCGGGTTTTTTCAATTTCGCAAAACAATATTGAAAACCACAACAATTTTTTTTTGCAGAGGAAAATCATGCCGGACGTGCAAGCTCTTGTCAATGATTTTCTTATCAAGCTTAAAAAACGGTGATTATTTTTATTATTGTTATACTACCGTGCATAGAGTGATTTTTTCTTTGTTTGTAAAAATGAGATTATAGGCTTACTTTTGGTTTCGTTTGGTTACTTGGCAGTAAGATTGAGGGTTCGCAGGCGACGGCGAGGCAGGCTGCTGAACTGTTACGATCAGTTATCTCACAACAGCGAGTGCCTTACACGAATCAGGCTGGAGCTTTAATTGATGCTGTGAGGGCTGTTGGGGAGCAGCTGATTGTTGCCAATCCTGTCGGTAAGCATTTCAGTTACTTTAATAAATAGATACTATATTTGAGTGTTTATGTCCTGGATTGGCGTGTTTTGTGGTTTTCATTGATGTTTGTGTTGTTGGTTGGTTGTATGTGCTGTTTGCAGAGGTAGCTGTGGGTAATATTGTGAGGCGTGTTTTGCATATTATTAGGGAGGAGGATCTTTCTCTGACAACTGCTGCTATTGCGGGTTTGAATTTATCAGCAGCAAGTGATGGGGATGATGATGATGATGATGATGATGATTGTGAGCGAGATGAGCATACAGTTCTATCAGCTGCTGCTGCTGCTGCTGCTGCGAGAAATGCTTTGCGTCCACCTTCCTTGCAGACCCTACTGGAGGATATGCCTGAGTCAGTGGCTATTCCTCATACTTATTCATCGGGAGGTGATTCTGAAGGAAAAAGCAAATGTAAGTCTCTCATGGTTGTTCAGAGTTTTTATATCACTGCATCATATCATATGGCAGATTACCATATGCTTCGAAGTTGGATAGATTTTGATTTGGTTGAACGAGTATTTATTGCTGAAACTTGGCTGATTGCTGTGGCATGGCATGTGGGGTGCACGTGCGTGTGAGGAGTATCTTGACATGTAAAGATTTTTTCTATAACAGCTGCTGATAAAAGTTCAAGAACTCGAAGGTTGAAGCATGATGTCATTGAAGCAGTTAACGAGCTTATTCAAGATATTAACACTTGTCATGAACAGATTGCTGAACAGGCTGTGGAACATATTCATCAAAAGTAATTTTTTGCCATCAAGTTCATTTTTTTACCCTATTAGCTCCTTTTCTTTGCTTTGGGTTGCTGGCACTAAAGTTCTGGTTAACATTCAAGAATCAAAATGATGGTCTTTAGTTTATTACGGTTTTCACTCTAATTTCACTATGCATACCATGTTTCATTCACGAGCATCCATGGACAAGCTTGTATTCCATAATTGGCTTCCATATTTCACCAGTTGTGTATCTAGTTTGATTCTAAATAGTGCCTTTTTTTTTTCACCTAGCATTTAGCATTATGAAAATGATTTTGCTCGAATTAGTAGTATTTGAGTTGAGGTGATTGAGTGAAAGAATTAGAGACAATTGAGTCTATACTGTGGGTTATCATGGGATATTTGGATGTCTTCATTCACCATTTGTGTCCATCTGCGGGTTATTATGGTTAATGGGGTAGCCATTTTTAAATTGGGTGTCATTGCATCACTTTTACTGCCCAGTGAGCTCCTTTTTTGTGCCTTAAGTGTTGGAGTGTGATCTTTGAACTTACAATTGGAGTTTCAAATGTGGATGTGATACCATCTTTCAATTTTTGTCATCTTTCCAATATTTTCCAGTCCTAATGTTTTCTGTCGAAGTCCTAGGTTCAAGTAAAGTTTCAGATCAGTCATCTCAATTGCATGGATTCTTAATTGCTTATTATATTAATCCATTGCTTTTGACACTTTGTTTTACTGATTCGATTATTAAACATCTTTTCAGTGAGGTGATATTAACATTAGGTAGTTCAAAGACAGTGTTAGAATTTCTTTATGCTGCAAAGGAGAAGAAAAGATCATTCCGGGTATTTGTTGCTGAGGGTGCTCCAAGGTTTGTATAAGTCACTTTATGTTGGTTACATTGCAAAATAACTTTTTTTAGCTGGTTGGATTTTAGTCTTCTCTTTGTTAAATACAAATTTTCTCATTGGCAATTGGTATTCAACTAGGTATCAAGGGCATCTTCTTGCAAAAGAACTGGTCACAAGAGGCTTAAATACCACTTTGATTACTGACTCAGCAGTTTTTGCCATGATTTCCCGTGTGAACATGGTATGAGAGAGTTTAGTTTTTTTCTTTTCTTGTCTATTTTTTTGGTACTGGTCTGCTTACTATTTTGATCTATCTTAAATTTGTTATGGAAAGGTTATAGTTGGAGCTCATGCTGTAATGGCCAATGGTGGTGTGATAGCACCTGTTGGGCTGAATATGGTTGCACTTGCAGCTCAAAAGCATGCTGTACCTTTTGTCGTGCTTGCAGGCAGTCACAAGGTAATTTAGCAAAATAATATCCCTCTTTGCCCCTAGAGTTTTGGTAGTGAGCAAGTAAACAAACTGCCATATTTGAATTGCTTGCTCTGTTTTTGCTATTGAATGGCATGCTGCTGTCATACTGCTTAACTTGTGACGGAAAATGACAACAACTATATAGCAATAAATGGAATGTCTCTTCTGTGGCCCAGAAGATGTTTGTCAGTTCCTTCTCAGCTTCTTTTTTCTGTTAGTGTTGGTGTTTGTTGCAAGGCCATGTGCTAGCTCATAGTGACCTCATGAAACCCACATAGGCTATAATTTGATTGAACTACAAGCATAAGAATTGCAATCTGCCTTCGGTGCTCCTAAAATCTTGACATTTTGTCTTTGTCTAACTTGATGCGTTCTTCTGAACTCAGATCATTGTTTATTATATTGATTTCTAGATTTTTTTTTTCTAATGTTTGATTATAGAAATCTAGTACACATAACAGGGATGGCAGAAATTTTTTAAGAATCCAAACACGAAGACAAATGAAAAAAACAAATATGGAATTTCTTTGTTTAATTGTAACTGGATGGTGTCAATAGTTAATCCTTGTGTGTTTTGTCTCTGATTTTGTGGCCTTGCCAATTATACAGTCAGTAAAACGACTTGGATAATGTTAATGACTTCTGTGATGGTAGACTTTGAATTTTAAATACTGTTCTGATTCTTGCTTTAGTCCTTCGTACACTTGGCTGTTTTTCTTGGATGGCAGCTGTGTCCCTTGTACCCTCACAATCCTGAGGTCTTACTAAATGAATTGAGATCTCCATCCGAGCTACTGGATTTTGGAGAATTCTCAGATTGCTTAGATTTTGGGAGCGGCACTGGCTCTCCTCTTCTTCATGTTGTCAATCCAGCATTTGATTATGTGCCACCAAAGCTTGTTAGTCTGTTTATCACTGACACGTAAGTTCTAGTACTTTTGAGGACATCTTTTAATGTTAACCACTGATGCAAATCATTGATTAGAATAATACTTATTCCACTAAACAGTGTTAGGTCTCTGGTGCCAAATCAGATAGATTTGATATAATTATGTCCAGTTCCAACTTCCAAATCCTAACTTATTTATATTTTCATCTCATGCAATTCTAACCAGTGTTCATTTCTAATTACTTCACAGTGGAGGGCATTATCCATCATACATGTACCGACTCATTGCAGATTATTACTCCGCTGATGATTTGGTGGTGTGAAGAAGGGTTGCTTTGGGAAATTGAGCTCAAATCACTTTTGTTTACAATATTTTTCTGTAAGTTTCCTCATTCATGTTGCTTTGTTAATGGAAGAATAGAGTTTGCCAAGTACATACATATTTTCACCATGAAGAAAGTTTGCTATATGAAGCACAAATCATGATGTCTTTCTTGTGGTCTTTCACTGAACAAATGGAAATGGAATCTGTTAGTTGCTAGAATGACATTTCTCATCATCTCAATTCCCTCAGTTATTTCCTGTCTTTCTCTGTATGAATTTGCTGCCCCCTCCCCCTGCATTGTTGCTTAAGTTGTTTTAATTTCTCTCATCTACCGTGGCTGATCTCAATTCAGATTGCTTTTCACAAATTATGCTTCGCAAAAGGATAAATGTTTGGGTAATGCCTGCCCTTGTGTTGTGTATACATTGCGATTCCATTATGGAACATAAGCTGTATCCATAGTGTCCACATGAGGGCATCTCATGACCACTTAAAACTCAACTTCTTTGTTTCTCTTTTGTCGCAGTTATGGTAAATTATGATAACTTATAATGCTTAGTAAGTGGTTGCAAATACCAATAACTTCAACTTTCTTGGGACATGATAGGACCATTGCTCGTCTGTCGACTCGTTTCTGATATTTTCCTGTTTTCACCTTTCAGGTAGTTTAGGAGTTACCATGGTAAGAAGTGATGGATGAGGATAGAGTAATTTTGTCTCAGTGTATGGAAGCATTTAACCATTGTTTATGCTGGAAGAGAAGCAAACTTATTGATAGGGGGCAATGCGAGGGGTAGACTAGCCAGGAAATGACCATTTTTCTTTACTATTATTGAAGCAAAGGGCTAAGAGCTAAGAGCTAAGAGCTACACTGAGAAGGAACGAATGCCATGATGGTTGTAGCAAGTTATAAACCATGTATGCTGTGACAAAACTGTGAAAAGGAAAGGAAAAGGGAGCAACAGGTTATATCGAGTTTAATCGAAAACTTGAGAACAATTTGCACATGGAGAATGCTATGGTTAGTGGGCTGTGTCGTGTGAGCACATTTGAAGGTACTATAGTTTATTAGTTTTTGTTAGGAGTTTTCGGTTTCCAATACCATAAGTTTTTTTTTTTCAATCTTTGTATTTATATTTACTTCTCCTTTTATCTTTAATTTCTCATGAATATGAATAAAAGTACCAGATTAATTTGAAAAACTTGAGCTAAGGGGTGGGTTTTAAGATTCTTTTCCAGTGTGTTTTTTATAATATTTTTTTATTTAGAAATGTTTTAAAATATATTTTTTTATTTTTGATATTAATATGATTAAAAAAGTAAATTAAAAATTAAAAAAATATATTTTAAAAAATGATATAATTGCAGAATTAAAAAATAATATTGATAAAGTCAAAACCTAGTTGATCAAATAGGGTTGATTTATGTTCTAGTCGCCAAATAAACCCAGTTCAAACTTGTTGAATCAATATTAAGGGAATTGGAAATTTGATGTTCAAATTTATTTGATCAACATGAAGGACATTTTTCTAAAATGAAAGATGTTTTAAAAAAGTATTTAGCTTGATAATATGTGAGTTTATCCACTAACCTAATAATTCGGGTTTTTTGGGAGCAGTTCCGAACCACTCTGATAACATCCATGTTGAATAAAGTGAGAGTATAGAGAGTATAGAAGTTGATTTGATGACATATTAAAATATAGGGACCAAACATGATTTTTATCAACATAGCAGTCACTCACAAACACGTGCTTTCACCTAGCATGCCGGCATCACAATTCCCAGTCCAACTTCCATCCTTGCCGGTGACGGAATATAGCCCCCACCAATCACATTCCTCCACCTCATCCTTTCCCTTCCGTTCCTCTCCCATCACTTTTCTCCTCTTCACCGCCACCGTTTCTTTCCCGTCAACCATAAAAAACCCAACACCTTGGAAAAAAAAAAAACCACCCCCTGCCCTCTCTCATCAGAATCATCAAAATCAGATCTGATTGTTATTTCATCGACCGTCGATCATGGAAGACGACGATGAGGTACAGTCACACTCAAACACCACCGAATATTCCTCACCGTCACCACCACCACCGAACGGAAGAATCACCGTATCTGCTCCCGCCGCCGTGCATCCGCAGCCGGCACCACCGCCACCGCAACAGAACAACAAGAACCGCTTAGCAATTGTTTTGCCGACGAAGCCGAAAGCGAGCGGAGGCGGAGGCGGAGGAGGAGGAGGAGGAGGAAGAGAGGACTGCTGGAGCGAAGGAGCAACGGCGGTGTTGATCGACGCCTGGGGAGAAAGGTACTTAGAGCTAAGCAGAGGGAATTTGAAGCAGAAGCACTGGAAGGAGGTAGCGGAAATTGTAAGTAGTAGAGAGGATTATTCTAAGTCTTCGAAAACTGATATTCAATGTAAGAATAGAATTGATACCGTGAAGAAAAAGTATAAATTGGAAAAAGCTAAAATTGCTTCAGGTGGAGGGCCGAGTGGTTGGCCTTTTTTTGATCCTTTGGATAGATTAATTGGCTCCACAGCGAGGATTCCTGTTGTTGGAAATGGTATTGTGGGTGGTAAAATTCCTACTAGGGTTCGTAGTGGTAGTAGGAGGGGTGGTGTGAATCAGTATCATTATCGGAATCAGAATGTGAAAATTCGGATTCTGAAACATGAGGAGGATGAGGATGATGAGGAGGGTGAGGAAGAGGAGGGGGGTGCAGAATCGGATGATAGTTTTCCGCCGATGAAGAAGAGGAGGGTGGCGGTGGAGAGGGAAGTGAGGGGGAAAGTGGGGAAGGAAAAAAGAGGAGGAGGGTGGGGGAATTCGATCAGGATGTTGACGCAAGCAATGGTGAAGTTTGGGGAAGCCTATGAACAAGCTGAGAGTGCCAAGTTGCAGCAAGTGGTGGAGATGGAGAAGACGAGGATGGAGTTCGTGAAAGAGTTGGAGTTGCAAAGGATGCAGTTTTTTATGCAGACACAAATGGGGATTTCGCAGTTGAAGAAAGCAAGAAGGGGAGGGAATGCTACCAGTAATCATTACCATCATCAATACCATCGTCATCATACTGGTAACAATATTAATGCTAGCAATAATGTTAAGAACAGTGATAGTGATAATTAAGTGAATGTAGAGTTGTTGGTTAGTTTTAAAATTTTAGAATCTCAAATTTTATTAGGTTTGTGTGTTTTGTAGTAGAAGAATGGCCCATTAAGGGTGGAGATTTATAATGTTAGCTGTGTTGCTTATGGTGTTTAATTTGGAGTACAGTGATGTGATTTCATACTTGTTTGTGTCAGCATGCATTTTGCAAAGGGCACTAGCTTGATTAATAGTTTTTTAGAGAGTCTGTTAACGTAGCAGATTTGAAGTTTACATTTCAAGGGACGAGTTCTAGTTCTACAGTTACCGCTTTAATTTATCAGCGGCATCTTTACTCAATTTCAGCAAGGGATTGACTGATGTTCATCTATAATAGCAGCAGATAACTAATTGTAGCTGAACAGAAGCTATTATAAAGAATGGTATGCGAGAGCGATTTCAGAGTGACATGTCAAACGGGAGATAATTTCTGTCTCTTTTCAGCACTGTCTCCTCTCCCCTTTCTTTTCTTGCTTCCTCCCCATGAGCTCGCATCCTCCTTCCCTTCTGTTCTTTCAATCTATTGGAGAAGATGTCGTATTGGTGGTGAAACTGCTTGCCTACAATATTTGTGTTCTGACCTTCGTTGGTGTCTATGGCTTTGTTGCCGCCTTCTAGCCATTTGGTGTTGCACGGTGCTGCTGCTTTTTGGCTCTTTGATTTCATAGAAATGCTGTTCCCTCATCTCCGGTGTTACATCGGCAGCTGCTGGCTCCTCTTGTATCTTTTGGGTTATGGCATCATTTGGTTCCTGCCATTTTCTATTCTCCGGTCGTGGAAGCTGACTGCAATCCTCCGATTCTGTTCTCATAGTCAGATGCTTCCTCTGTTTTCTCCTGGCATTAAAATTACAGCTTACCCTCAAATCTTATTGCCTCTGGTCATTTTCTTGAATGGTGCTTGGTGTTGTCTTCTAGTGTCTGCAGTATCGTAATTCGCTGGAGTTTTTGTAGTATTTGAATTGTGGGTGATTGAGCTGCAGAATTTGTGCAATTGAATTGAATTTGTGCTATGGGTTATCATGTGATATCATCATTCATCAACAATTAATTGAATGGGTTTCTACATGAAATATTTTTAGTTTCTTAATCAATAATTGAAGTTTTTAATTGGGTATTCTTAGAGAATAATATAATTAAACTAAATCTTGGTTAACTGATTGCTAGCAAAGGTGTAAATTTACATGGCTCGAAAACGAAGCTTATCTTCCACTTAGTTTTATCAAATAATATAATTTTGAAATAGAGTAGTTTCGAGTGATATAAATCAAATAGGAATTAAACCATGTTAAAACATTTAATTTTGTTGTACCTAGGTCCCTTTATATTACTAACAACAATATTATGTATCGTGTTTATAAATTCCAAACCACTCATTTGAAACTAAAGCTTTGTATGCTTTTTATAAAATAAAATAAATCCTAACCTTCATTTTAGGATTAAAAAACATTCATGAACATATATGAAAAGCTATCTTTGTCTCTATGGGCTAGGTATGATGTATTCAGGTATGGATATGGGTCTGGGCTTGGGATGATAGATATGGGTCCAGTAGGAGCACGATAGTTTTTTAATGGCAAGGAGTGAGCTATGCCTGCCAGGCTGGTTACTCAGTCCATTCACCTCTCTACTTGAGGCTTGTATAGTTTATTGAAAGAAAGAAAAACTTATATCGTTTCTTTTAGAATTCGTTTCTTTATAAAGCATGACAATGTAACCATATTTGCATTATCTATATAAAATAAAAGCAATAATCTTTTTTCAAAAATTCTACCATCTTCCTCGACCAAAATATTTATTTTTTGTTTCTATACATATTATAATTAGCTACAAATATAACACCCAATTTAATAAAATCGTATGAGCAAAATTCCAGGACTTTCCATGGACAAAACCCAATTTAATATATATATTTCTCTACAGATTCAATATATTCATCTAAATGTATTTATCTGAATGCTATATTATCTTATAATTTGACTGGGTCCAAAGATAAATGATAACATTTATTTAAATGCTATTTATGATTGACACACAAAACCCTATTTTCATAGTTATGTTAATTGAAGGATATATAATAAATGGAAGAATGACAAATTGCCAGGTGGAAAGTTATAGCTCATCACAACAAATACTTTCCAGCAAATTGATTAATGGCTGCTACAACTTATTACAACGAATACTCTTCATTTCTTCTCTATAGTTATGTTAATGGTAAAAAAAAAGTTGGAAATTAGAATTTTGAAAAATCAAATAAAAGATAAGTGATGATCAAATTAGAACTTTGATATTTGTTATAAAATATGATTTTTTTTAATTAAATCCCAACAACAACTCACAAATCAATTTTCAAATTAGTGAATGTTGCCGAAAAGAGTGGCAAAAAAAGAAGAAAATTATATTTTAAGAAAGTCATGGAGCCGTATATTTTTATTAGAAAAGAATCAATAGAGAAAAGAAAAAAAAATAGAATTGATTGTTATATTTCTGGAACCAAATAAAAAGAAACAAAAATAAAATATAAATCATGGATGAATTAAATCCTCTTGAAGACCTGCTTCAAGGTAAGAAAAAGGTAAATACTATTGGAATTTAATTGATATACATTTCTTGCATGTTGTTTCAAGTTGCATAAATACAAGCAAAATACATTTATACATATTATATTATAATTGATATATTTTTTGGTGCAGAACTGATATTATTTTTTGAAATTAAATCCCATTCAAGGATTGAGCATAAAAAAATTTGAATTATTGAGTTATTTAATTAATCAACACCGATAAATCATTTTATTAAAAAAATATTTTACTTTTTTTATAAAAAAATATTTAATATTAATTTAACCAAGTTTAAATCAAGTTTTATTAGATTAAATAAATTATTAAAAATTTAATTGAGATAATAAAATTTTATCATATTAATATTTTTTTAATTCAATTTCAAAGAATTATTAATATGAAAAGAAAGATTATTCCAGAACAATATTAGCACATGTGAAAAGAAAGATTATATTTTCCTGGGCATATAATAAAGTTATTCCAATCAAAACCTCTTTTTCAACCGATGGGGTCTCTTGGCAAATAAAGCAAGAACTGAGTGAGATATCCAGAACAATATTCATAACAATATTTATAAAATAATATATACAATCCTTCTCAACCGATCGGCAACACGTGCATACATAAACATATCCAGAACAATATTCATAAAATTAATTAATATCCTCGTCGCACTGGACTTGCTCCCCAAGTTAAATTGTCTTTCTATCTCTTACTGTCGAAATCTCAAATCACTATGTGCACATGAAAAACCTCTCAATGATCTCACCTCTCTCCGTTCTCTGGAAATCCGGTGTTGCTTTAAATTAGTTTCATTTCCCAAAGGAGGGTTACCTGCTCCAGTCTTGACGCGACTTGACCTAATAGAATGCTGGAAATTGAAGCAGTTGCCTGAGAGTATGCATTCCCTCCTCCCATCCCTTACCCATTTGGAAATAAATTGTTGTTTTGAAGTTGAGTTGTGTCCAGAAGGGGGTTTCCCCTCCACATTACAATCACTTGTGATTCTTAATTGCAACAAACTCATTGCAGGCCGCATGCAATGGGGCCTGCAAACGCTCCCTTCTCTTTCACACTTTGAAATTGGTACGGACGAAAATGTTGAATCCTTCCCTGAAGAGATGCTGCTGCCCTCGAGTCTTACATCTCTTACAATCAGCTACCTAAAACACCTGCAATCTCTTGACTACAAGGGGCTTCAACACCTCACCTCCCTTAAACAATTGACTATAAGTGACTGCCCTCTGATTGAGTCAATGACAGAAGAAGGGTTGCCCTCCTCCCTTTCTACTCTT